CCCCCCCCCCCCCCTCCCCTCGTCTCCTCTGTTTTTGTGTCAAGCGGCCGCGACAAGCGGAGGAGAGAAGATGAGCCTGAACGTGATGAAGATCCTGCTCCAGATGTGTCTGACCACGCTTAACGTCGTCTGCTGGTTGGTGCCCATGAAGATCCGCAGCTTCGTGGAGTCCAAGAGGGCAATCAGCATGGCCAACGCTTTCAGTGGCGGGGTCTTCCTCTCTCTGGCGTTCGGTGAGGTTAGATAGGACACGCGTAACCCACCACGGCTGTCGTCAGCGTATGGTCGTTGCATGACTTTTTTTGCATGTGTGTACCCACCGAACGAGTGTTGTTGCACTTCCGTTCCTGGAGCACGTGTCGGCCTCCTTCTGTATGACGTCTCCAAAGCTTGGGGTTCGGGTTTTGAATCTGACGTCCAAAATGGGACAACACACGCACATATCTCACCCCTGCCACTACCCTATTCCCTCCAGTCCCGTGCACAATGTAGGTATTACCTGTAGCACAGCGGTAACAACTCGACGACCGGTTGGATCCAACGAAATTTGTATCCCGTCCCGTGGTCGGCCCCCAGGATCTTGGTGGGCGACAGGTGAGCATCATTGCCTTTGTTGCATACATACCTCGCGCGCCCCTCACGCTGCTGTCTTGCTGCTGATACCGATTTTGTTTTTCAGGCCACCTGATGCCGCACGCCACTCACGGGTTCGAGGAAGCGGGCCTGCCGGCGAACGTGCCGTACTTCCTCACCCTATCCGGGTACATGCTCATCTTCTTCGTGGAGAAGGTGGCGTTCGACGCGCACAGCATCATGCACGAGGGGGACGGCCACGGACAACAACAACACGGCGGCGGCAAGGCCATGGCTGACGGTAGCAGCGTCACGGCGGTGCCGGCGGGCGGGGGGGGAGGTGGAGTGGCCGCGGGGGGCAACAGCGGGAGGTCGGCGATCATCTTGCTACTTGCGCTGGGGGTGCACGCGCTCATGGAGACAATGGCGCTGGGGCTGAGCTCGAACAGGGTCAGCGCGGGGCTGCTCGCCATGAGCATCGGGCTCCACCAGGTCTGTTTCTGACATGCCGTCAGTCAACGCGCTCGCACAAGAGTAGGGAGGCCGTTCGCTGGGTGGGTTATGGTTGGGCCTCATCGGGCTGTGTTGTTTTGCCGGACGTGTTGTGTGTTTGCTGAGTGGGCTGGCTGGAGATAGCTGTGAGTGCAAGCACGGACACGAAATGGTGGACAAACGGGCACGGAGATATCATCTTACGCGGTGCGGCGATTGTGTGCTCTTTTACGTGTCCAGCTTGAAGAATTGAGTGTCGCTGTTGGACAAAGCTCAGGGTGCGCCCCCCGCTGTGTAAGAAAGTTATCGAGAACCCCTCCCCCCCACCCCCCCCC